CCAACTACTCACTACTTGATATCGGTTCTGTTGACACATGATTCTCATCTTCTCCATCAAGATGCTTCTGAAAGTCTTCTAGTGTCAGCCATTCTAACTGCATGTCCATACCTAAACTCAAGACTTGTTGCTTGCCATCTGTCATGTATTTGATTTTATGGAAGAAAAAAAAAAGGTAAAAAAAGTAATAAGTAACTTATGCATTTCCAAACTATTAATTGCTTGCCATTGCTTCAATGATCAGCAGCTTAACACACTACTACCTCTCATTCAAACAGACTCTAGAAGTCAGCGTGAAATGGTTCCAAACAATGGAGGCTACGTTATGAACTGACATAAAATGCTTTTACTTGAAACAAACTGTTTATTTGTTGTAATAAATTAAGCTGAAGCGATAAAAGATGGTGAACACTTCCTTACAGTAATAGCAGAGACACAGCAGGAACACAGTGAAAAGTTACCAGCGAGTTTCAAAATAAAACATCATTTCAGCCTCCTGGGGAGACAAGAATTGGAGCACTAATTTTTTAATGGAGAAAATATTAACTGCCAGTGCTCAACCTTCCCCTGCATTTGTTTCTACTGCTCACCAGAGTTCTCCATTTGACACACATCCACTACTTCTCGATCACCTTCTGCAGCAATGTAAGTCCATGTGTCTGTTTCATCTCTTATGTTCCTCCTCTCCTTGTACACCTTGCTGTCTTTTGATTTTAATTCTTCTATGAATTTATATTCTAGCGAAGATTCTTCTCTTCTGCAGTTATTCTCAGAATATTCACTTTTTTCTTCTGAAGCTACATTAAACAAGTCAAATGCACTTTTGATGTCCTTAAAGCCTAGAATATTAAGACAGTTACCAAGAGTGACTACTTGAGCCACCAAAGACTGTTACATAACAAAGTTTAAATGACTGACCAGAGTCCATTTAGAAAAGGTCTGTTCTCTTTCCATAAGTTAATCATTGCTGAAGCATAGGAGCAAGCTTAACAACACAAGCCAAAAATCGGGGAGAGCCAGTTCACCTCCAGCTACTCTGGCAAGTCTGAGTTCTGACTGCTTTCAACACAGTACCATCTTCCTTTTAAGAAATAAAGTTTAGAATGATGCATAAACTACTATTCTGAAAATAGGGTTCAGTACTGGTGATGAACAGACGAAGGATACATGCATTTTAGCATCGACGCTACTTTCTCTAGAGTAGCTCTAAGAGCACTTTTTCTGTGAGAGAAAAATGTTTCTCTAGCAACAGCTATTTCAAGCATCATAGCTCCTCCTATATCCACTCATGATTATTAAAGGTGGAGTTACTTACGTTTCCTCAGTTCATCCTCATCAGAGTAGTGAGGGAATTTATCCTGAATAAAATCATCCGTAATTTTACTGAGATAGAGAGTGGTAACACTAATACTCCATTATACTATTAAGAGTAGAAATAAAACCTAGACGTTCTTCTCCATGTATCAAATCATCCAGTTCTGGTGATATTTTAAGGGTTGTAAAATATAACTCAGCACTGCAGCTAAAGCAAGAGGCAAGACGTTTGTCTGACGGGAACCTCTACTAGTTTTTCTGAACATACAAAGTGTGTACTCACAGTATCACCAGAACTGTTCTGGAGATAGCCAATAGTTGGGTGAATTCCTCTAAAAAGACTACTGTTCCAAGCCACAGAAGTACAGTTGACAATACTAAATGAAAAAGGGTAAAATCTTGACTTGTCTACAAAAATGTTAGAGATTTCTATACTCTTCCATGCCTCATACATGACAGTACATACAACATTCTCATGAAGCATATATTTAACAAAGCCATTGAACAGCAGACAACTACTTCCTAAAACCAAAGCAGAAATTCTTCTTTCTGGTATGTGTTACAAAAATATACAATATCTGCTCTTGTCAAAATAAGAGGAGAATGTCCCAAAGGATCTTTCCCTTCTCTCTATTAAGCAGTTAGCACTTACTTTTTAGGCTCTTTTGTTCTTTCCTGCTCTTTTCTTCTTTTTCAGACTCTTTTTTTTGAGATTTTTCTTTTATTTCAGTTTTCTTTACTTCTTTCTCCTGATATTGACAACAAAGATCAAATTAAAGTGGCAGAGAGAGAAATAAAGTAAAATAACCTCTTTTCACCATTCCAACAGTAGAATATATTTAAAACTAATACTACTGAAACCTGTATATAACAGTCTTGTGGACATTCCTAAGAAAAGAATTAAACAGGTGAGTCAGGAGTTAAGTCTGTGAAGGCTTCCTCCTTAAGAGCTGTTATTTACAAAATAAAACAACTTCAATTCATATTTTTTACTACATCCCAGCCATGCAAGGTGCTTTATGCCATGAGGTGCAGATATGCCAAAACCAGCATTTTGAAAGAAATTCAAAATTATTAACTTTTCATTTGTTCCAAATACTGAACCTGAATTTAATTATTTCCAAGTATTTAACACCTTTGTAGCATCATATTCAAAGCAGTTGTGATAGCACTGGCCTGAACCTTAACTGGGAAAACATGACATTTACATACAGAAGTTTCCAAGTTTTACAATTTACATACACAGAATGTTACAGCAACAGTCACTTGTGAAAAAAAAACACTCAGGAAAATCCACCCAACCCCACCATACCCACACAGAAGATGGAGCTTAGCAAGATCCAGTATCACAGAAGAAATTTACGGTAGATGTAGATATAGAATCAAATTAGCCAAAATAGAATTCAACTGCTTCCACCTAAGGTTGCCTTTCTCCTCCTGTAATCCTCTCTCTTCATTCAGATAGCAAATCCCAAACTGCAGGGCAGGTGGGACAAGGCTCCTTGGCATGGCTTTGTATCAGCCCCTGACATTAACCTGTGTATGGCAGCAGAGCTGAGACACTTAGTCATCTAATTTTCCCCTTCCCCCCAACAAAACCTCAGCTTTTGATCACTGACATGATTTAACCAGTAGCACCAACAGCTGTCAATCCCAGCAGATGCCCAGGATTTAGGAGACCCGTAACTTACTAAAGAGATTACCAGATTTTTGCTACTCAGAGTCTGTTAAAATCAGTACTCCTGAGTTCTATTCCAGATTTCCAATACTGATCAGATGCACAATGTACACTGCACATTTATTTATTTATACTGCAGCATAAATTGACACCACAGTGTTCTGTAATCAGAGCTACACAAGGAAAGACAGGTAGCTGAAAAATACACAATGATTTTATTTGAAAAGAATAATCTGCCTGGGCCAACAATTCAGTGAAGTCATATAATGCAGTAAGTATCAAGGTGTTCTGGCTGCAATTCTGTCACAAATCAGAAAGGGGTTTCTCTGAGCAGCCAAAGTCTTATGAACTGCAAACTGTATTAGAACAGTCTGAAGCAGCTAAAAGAAACATTTCAGAAATACTGTTTTTTTTTCATTTACCTTTACCATCCTGCTTTTCTTAAAACACTACTGCAATAAATAAGGAAAAAGAAATATTACAGCATTTGCTTAGCTCATTTCTTAGAACAAGTACAGCATTTGCAACTAATATGAAACCATGTCATGAAACTAAGCATTTTCTAAGAGCACCCCAGAATTCTAATAAGACAAACCAGCTGCACAATTATCCGTGAGACCTTGGTTTAGAAATGATTTCAGCATTCCAATTCCCAGGTAGGTGCTAATGCGTGTAAGGTATAATGGAGTGGCAGGCTTTTGAGAGAGATCAAGTGTCTGTTGTAGCTCAGAAGTGCACTTCCTTGTGCAGAGTTGCACAGGTAGCTGCTCAAGACTCAATGTCTTACTACACAAGTAGAAAACAGTCAAACTAAGGCAACTGTTGAAGGTGGGGCGAAAAAAGCTAAAAATGACAGCATGCTTTGGAGGAACAGTAAATTTCATTCTAAGTAAGTACACATAACAGGAGAAATTCCTGCTTTCACATTCAAAGACACCCTTCTTTCCCAGAGTTCCCTCCTTTATAGTGTTCAGAATATACAACTTTTTCAGTCTCTCCTAGACATTGTGCAGTTGGCCTTTTTTTAGCTTCATCCAGCTCATTAACTTTTAAATTTTTATTTTTTCCTCTCTGCCATCATGAACAGCAGCCTTTTGAGATATCTGGACCTCAAAGATGTTTGATTCAATCCCCAGCCCCGACCCCAATGCCTTAACATTGCTTACCTCCCCAGGTGAATCAGCTGACTTGCGCCCGCTGTCATCAGCGCTCAATTTCAAACCCCTCTGCCCTGGTGAAGGAGCAGGTGACACCTTCTCCAACTCTCCTGGCACTATTTTTACTTTTTCTTGACCTTTCTGCTTTTTGTGCATGCTCTTCTTATCTAAATAGATATCTTGAGTTTCCACTTTTTTACCTTCCTCTTTATAATCTTCAGTTTTCTGATTTTTTTTCTTCTTTCTTTTAACCTTAACATCAATACTATCTTCTTCATTACTTGCTGATCCATCAAGATGCCTATCAGCAATGGAATCTCTTTCAGCAATTTCTTGTTCCAGTCTCTCTTCACCACTTCCTACCTTTTGCTTCTCATCCTTATTTTCAGAATTTAAGTCTGAACTTTCATTATCAGTTCCTTGAGAAAATACATCATCTAGAGTACTTGATTCTGAGTCAAACTGAACATCTCCATGCTTCTCCTTCCGTGACTTTTTAGTTTCTTTAGAATCTTCTTTAGATTTTGTTTTTAAATCTTTAACGTCTCCCTTCTTTCTCTTGATTTCTTTAGTATCTTCTTTCCTTTGCTTCTTTGAGTCCTTTGAATCCTCCTTGGTTTCTGAAGTCCTTTTTTTTGGTTTTGCATCTGAAACCAAAGTATCTGAGGAATTTTCACATTCTGTCCTGGGTTTTTCTTTGAGTTTTGCAGACTTAGACTTTTTCTTCTTCAGATCATCTGGACTTCTATCCTCTCCACCTTTTGACTTCTTCTTTTTCTTCTTTGGTGAAATGTCATCTTTTGTTTCACTCTGCCAGTCACTGTCAGATTCTGCTTCAAATACATCATCATTTAGAGACAGTTTCTAAAAGGTAGGGAAAAAAGAAAAGATTTCTTTCCCCATTAAACTGTATCACTTTGGTGTAAACTACACAAAAATGGCAGTAGTGGTGCTTTGGAAAAGTAAATTTTTAAACACTTTAATCTTTTTATCACTGCAGATATAATTCCTCATTGTCAAACTGTAAAATTTGTAATACAATTCTAGCTCGTGTACATGAACTGCATTACTAACTTCCTGAATGTGAATCAATAAATAAACAAGCCAAGTAAACCAATTAGACATCCAACAACCAGATTCCAGAACAGAACTAAATCTGAACTATTTTACATTTAAGATAATTAACCTGATTTTGTAAAATTTACCTATAGGTTTCCCAAAAGTAGGGTACTTGTTTTTAAAAGAGATTCTTATGCTTCATTTTCAAATTGATTGAGCAGTCAAAAAAGAAAAGAAAAAGCCATATGCTGTCTTCTTGCAATTAATTTTTCTGTATTCCTATCTTATCAGATTTAATGGTTAACATGTAAAAATTCACCAACCTGCTATACAAAGCAGAAGGGTGAATTGCACAGTGCCCAGCTTCACTGACAAGACCATATGCATGTGGGTAGGTAAAGGGAGTTATGCTGTCAAAACCAAAATTACCATCCATCATTTATATAGTCCCATTAAAAACTGAAATAAGTTTAGATGGATTTAGAGTCTACAAGCAAACTTGTTAATTAACAAAAGAATCTCTAACTAGAGAGCAGCAACAATATTCAGTTTCACATGAAACAACACACTTTTAGATGGAAGAGATTCTTTAAGACTTCTTAATTCCATATCCCAAATGTCTTCCCTTCTCCCTCCTCAGCACTAGCAGAGCCTAGATATGGAATATATCTTCAGTGTAAGACACTGGAAGGTGAGACACACCTGTATTTCTTTTTTAATAGGTTTAGGCTTATTGTCCACAATTTTTTTTCTGAATTCAAGCAGCACTTCCTTGCAGTCTTCCAAATGAACCTCTGGTTCCCAGGTATCATCATCAGACGTATATCCTTTCCACCGTACTTTGTAGAGAATTTTACCCTGTAAAGGAAAAAATCCCAACATTTAATAATATACAACATGGTATTGCATCTACTCGGTTCCTGAGGATCTCACAATTTTGTGTATATAGAAATTAATATAATGGGAGTTCAATCCAATGCTGACATAACAATTCCTAGAATTATTTCCATCTGCATCACATACTGAACTAAGTAGGATGTAAAATGTTTCAGCAGTTGAAGTGGTTTTAAACAAAATATTTGTAATATCTAGAATTTGTTCAGAAACACAGCTACAATGTACAAATCAAATTCCCAGTCATTTTACTGAAATGGATTTTCTGACAGTTATGAAAGTAATTTTTTAAAAGTTTTAATATTTCTTCTACAAAAATTTCAAGCTTGAATTGCTTCTCTATGCTGAAAAAGTTGATGTAAAACCTCCAGATTTATAATGCGTTAACACTATTCACCTAGTTTTATACTGGAATTTATAACTTGTGTTAGATTTGTACTGATGCCACTTTTGATAAACTGAAATACCAACAATCAGAAAAAAAAATACACCAATGAGATTGAGTCAAACCTAGACAAAATCTGAGTGCGTGTGTCTCAATGGAGCTAGTTAGAAAGATCTTGGTAAAAGGTTATATACAAAAGCCCCAGACCTATTGTTTCAACAGTATTTAACTTCACTATAGAATGAAGTTGTATCTTTTAGTCTCTATCTTGTTTTTTCACTAGATTATAAAGTCTTTTACCATTAAAAAAAAAAAGCTTTCCACCAAATTATCTCTTGCCTTTCTCCTAAATAAATTAAGTAGTCTGAATCCTTATGTTTCTCAAGATGGACTCCTTTTCTTGCTGAGAGGCAGCTTATTAGCTTGGACTTAGCATGTTGCTGATACAGCCAGGCAAGTGGCAAACTCAGGGCCCCCTGCACCAAGCTTAACTGAAAGCAGAGACATGTCCTATGAAATCAATGTGGTCATCTTTATTGATTAAACCCACACTCTCTTTAAATAGATGTATGACAACAGCTAGCATCACACGAAAAATCCATTGTCCGTATTAAAAAAAGCTAATAATGAATACCAGGCAACACAGCCATTTCTGAATTTATTTTCTAAATTAAAAAGTATTAGCAAATGTACTAAGGAAAGCACCTTTGGAGAGGCAAAATAATAGTACCTCTTTCTTTCAGAAATAGATTGTTAATGCTCTAAAAGATCCTACACTACTAACCAAGCCTGGAGAAGGAAAGCTTCAAAAGAACTGCCATTTCACACTATTAAAGGTACTGATATCCATAAATTTACATTTTTGCCTGAGCACCATTACCCTTTTACCAATTATATATATATATATATATATATGCGCCATTAAACTTTAGCAACCAATGCTACTTACAGTCCACGGTATTTAGCTTCACAGACATAAATAAATAGCCTATATTCAGATATATTAATGTAATACATCTCCTCTTGTAATTTATCTTAACTATACACTCTTCAGGACTTAAGTTTTCAAAATCATGCTCACTTGTCTCTCTTTCTTCTAATCAGGTTACTCACAAAATAAGTGACTAGTAACTTTCTTGTTACAGTCAGAGAGTAATTTAGGTTATAAGGGATCTCCAGAACTAACAAGTAAAATGCCCTGCTCAAAGCAGGACCAGCTACATCAGGCTGCTCAGAAGTCTGTCCAGTCAAATCTGCCCTGAAGTCTATTCGGATTTCCCTGTGTTCCAGCTTGGGCCCACTAACTCTCTCAGCCTTTCACTGTGCACCTGAGAAGGGTCTGATTCCATCCTCTCTGCACTCTCCCATTAAGTAGATACAGATGCCACTACGATCACCCCTCATTCTTCTCCTCTTACGGCAGAGCAAACCCAGCTCTCTCAGCCTCTTGTGCTTCAGCTCCTTAAACTGTCCTCATAACCTGTCACTCCAGTATGTCAATGTCTCTTCCATCCTGGGGAGCTCAGAACTTGACACAGTACTCTGCATGCATCTCAGCAGTGCTGAGAAGAGAGGAAGCATCTCCCTCGATTTGCTGGCTACACTCTCGGATGTTCCTGGCCTTCTTTGCTGCAAGAACTGCTGACTCACGTTCAACTTACTTGTCGGTGGGGACTCCCAGCTCCTTTCCCACAAATCTGCTTCTTAGCCAGCTGGCCTCTCACCTGGTGCTACAGGGTTGTGCCATATCAGATGCAGGACTCCAGGTGGCTGCTGCAGAGTTACCGTTACGCCCTTGTAACTTGGGTACAAAATGAGTTAGAAGTCCTTTTTCAATTAACTGAGAAAGCTGGATAAAATAAAGTCTAATGCAAACGTCAGACTATTTGGTTGTTGAATGATTCTACATCCAGTACATAGACAGTGATACAAAAATGTAGCTTAAGTGATTGATCATCATACTAAAGACAAATACACAGCCTTACATGCAAGTTATTTTCCTCAACACTGTTATTTCTTTCTTCTGTATCACTTACAAATAATAGAGCACTTCCAAGCACATTTATACTGCTGTAGCTTCTACGAGAACTAGTCATGGGCTAGAAACAACTGCTATGGAAAGGGGGAATCGCCACATCGCTGAAGAGCAGAGTTAAGGTTACCCATCTCCACTGGGGAATGTCACAATTTGCATAGAAGAATTTTAGTGCAGTGTGAGGCTCTCTAGATATACTGAGAGGCAACACTTTCAAACTTGGATTGCTTGTTCTCTTAAGTAAGACATGTTAATGTCTCATTTCTCAGTCTAACTCCTCACCCCAACCCCATCCCAGGAGTGCTGTCTCTCATGCTACCACTACTACAGCTCCAGCAACATCATGACTAAGAACGACAAGAGTGTCTCTGTGCGATGCTCTCCAGCTCTCCTGCTTCTGCAGCTGAGACACAGAAGCGCACTACCTGGGCTTATGCTGTGCTGGACAGTGGCCGACTCAGTGTATCTGCCTGGACTTTGTATCACACTTGGGAACCTCCAAGCTGGGAATCACTAGTCTGAAGCAGACTGCATAAAACATACTCCACTGAATGTAACACACAGCTTTTTTCAGCCATTTCGGCAGTCAGGACTGGGCAGGAGTATCTGTCTTGCCCTGTATTTCTGAAGCAGAGGAGCACGGCCCTCATTGAAGAGCAACGGAAAGGAAACCTGATGCAACTGGAGCCCACACTACAAAGCCACAACCAATACATACAGGGTAAGGCACACACATACAGTAAAGCTAACTGCACTGACCCAGCCTAGAAACCTCAGGCACACACAGCTCAGAACCTGCTGCAGAATGGGCTGTTTGGAGAAGGAAGATAAAAAAAAGGGGGCATAACACCTTTTTACCAGCATATACCAATGACATTTTTAAGAGATGGTACTTGATGTGTCCTAGTACTCTTTAGAAGTGTGTGGAATGGTATGACCTCTGACAATATACATATTTTAGGTTCCATCACTTTGGAGGTGGGGAAGAAACAGAAAAAAAGGAGTCCTCTTGTTTTCAAGCCTGACATTATTTTGACCAGTATTTCATACAGGCAAAGATATAAATACCATATTACTTCAAAAGCATAACATTCTCAAGCCATCAAGGTATTTCAACCTACTCATGATAGCACCACAGATATGCAAGAAATTCTTGATCTGAAGGTTTCAAAGCCCTGTTTTACACTAAACAGGCAGAATTCTATACTATCATGTACCTGACTGAAGTCTAAAATGAAACCCTTAAATTAGTTAAAATAAACAACTTTCAGATTTTTTCATTAAAAATCCCCAACGTTGTATTCGTTATTTTTTATATTTGAGGTTTAGGAAATTTTAGAAGAACTTCAACAAGTCTAGGCTGCTTTCAAAGAAGTTCTCAATTACATTCAACGCTATTCATTTCTGCACTCAAACACTTTACATCAAAACACTACTGCAGCTCAGCCATAAAAGCAAAGAAGAGTTTAACAATGCAGACAAAAAAAGCCAAACAACTTTAGTAAAGATACTCTAGATTTAGTCTCTTTAGTCAAAGCTGTAAGATACAAAAAGCTCGCTTGCAACATTATGCGCAGCATGTTTAACTTCCAGTTATAACGGAATTAGTATTTGTGCGCGGTTCTGGCCCAAGCAAAGAAGAATCGCGCAGGAAAACCTGCCCCGGGAGCAGCCCCTGCCCC